CAGGTTAAACCATCTCTTTGGACTCCTGCATCCTGTAGTGGAGTGCTGGTTTGAGGCCTGGCTACTCTGCTTCTGATCCAGCTTCCTGCTAATATACCTCAAAAGCAGTGGATGGTGGGTCAAGTGCTTAGTTCTCTGTCACCTGTGTAGGAGGCCCAAATGGAGTTCTAGGCTCGTGGCTTCAGCCTGGCCCAACCCTGCTGATGTAGCCATATGAAAACTGAACCAGTGGATGGAAGACTTCTCTCTGTCACTCTGTTTCAAATAAATATATTTTTTTAAAAGAGGGAAAAATTTCCCACTTTAGTACATCAGCAAAGTGATTTACATATTAACAATGAAATGCAGAACATAAGTCATAGCTAAAGAATATTGCTAACATTTGGAACAGTAATACAGTGGCCACTGTACCCATAAAAGGTTGAGAAATTAATATTGCCACCAGAGAACTCCCAAGTTCTGACAGAGCAAGGGTATAGATCAGAATAAAAATCTACTAGAAATTGGCATATTTTACGAAGCAAAACAATACACAGAATAATTAAAAATGTAATTCCAAAGACTGTCTTACTTAACAAATTGTGATTGGATGACTATCAACGCCGTTTTACCAGTGAGTGTTAGAAGTGCAGAATCTTGGTCCATATCCTAGCCCCTTTGAACCGGAATCTGATTTTTAGCAAGCTCTTCAGGTGACTCATAGATACATTCACACTTGCAAAGCACTGCTGAAAGTATTTTTATGAATGGAATTATGTGAATAATTGCTGTTTTCCAAAAACAACTTCACATCCCAAGAGGTAATGGTCATGCGTATTTTACAATGAGGCCATCAGCTCCTAGGGAGGAAAAATGCTCATATCCTATTGCTCTGGAAAGATAATGGCTGCTGTGGAATTATTTTTCCTGGAGGAGCAGAAGCAGTTGTAGGGGAAGGACTGGCAGCTCATCATTTGCAGTAACGACAAATACCAGCTTGACCTGCGTCGTTATTTCCGACACATCACCTAGGATTTCTTGTCACATTATGCTGGCGAATGCTTTTCCTTCCTTTTTTTATTTTTGGGTCAGAGCAGGAAACTGACCTAGAGGTTGCTGCGGGCACTGGGAAGTATGGTCTTCCCTGGCTGTTCCGTGCCCAGGGAGGCACTTGCTGCCGCACCTCTTACCTGGGCGATGTTAAGAGCTTATCAATTGCGTGACTGTTGAGATGCCCAAGCCATCAAACAAGCACCTCTCCCATGACACGATCACTTGTGTTAATAATAAAATGAAGCTGTGAGAGATGTGGGAAAAATAGAAATCCGAGTGGTGGTGCCCTGAAGGAGTAAGGGAGGGGTGGAGGGAGTCGGATCGAGGGGGTGAGCTCTATCTAGCCTTGAGTCACATGAAAGCATGTGGAGCAAACAGATCTTCAGGCCAGGAGACAGTGGCCATCAGTCACTCTCTGCTCCTTCCCAGCAGCCTGAAAGTCCAGACAACACCTGCTACCATGTAGTCCCTGATCTATTGTCTTGGAGAAGGCTTGTGCTGAATTTACCAGGAAAGAAGATAGGCTGTGGCTATTCTACACACAGACCACATTATTCTTTTTGAATAGTTCACCTTAGCTAGAGGAATAGAGGAGTAAATTTGGGTCTTTAACCCGGGGAACATTTTAGCTATGAGTGCAGAGAGCTGGAATTCCCACATGCTGCATGAGAGAGTCCACGGTGGCAGCATCATTAATGCTATCACTCCAATGAATTGGACACTGTCATAGCTCACTTCTCTTCCTGCTCAGAGAGGTTGACAGTGCATCTGAAACTTATGAATAATCCCAACTAACTTCGCTATTCATAATCTTAAATAAAGTGATTGTCTGTCAAGGTCAAATGAGCTTACAACTGTGTAACTAAACTTTGGTAAATGAAGAGGGAACCATTTGGATAAGGGAATAAGTGTCTATGAGTGCTGTTTTCAACTTTTCCCCTATGATACTCACATTCACATCCCGCTCCTCATCTTTGCCTTCTAAATGGTCCTTGGATGCTCTCTGCACCGACGTGGTCCAACCTCCAAGCAGCAGCCAGAGGACTCCTCCCCCATTTGTACATTAGCTTGGTCACTCTCTGCTGAAATCCTCAGATGTCTTCTCATCCCACCCAAAGGAAAATCCACACAGGGCAGACAGGCCCTGGTCTGTCTCTCTGGAGTCCAATCTCCCTCCTTCGCCTCCATCCAGCCTACTGGGGTTTCTCCTTCTTCAACTGTGCCTGACAGCACTTGCCCAAGACCGACATGTAGTTTATCCTTACTAACTTTTTAAACACTTTTACATGTTATTTATTTGAAAGGCAGAGAGACAGACAGAGATCTCCCATCTGCTGATTCAACTCTCCGAAATACAAACAACAGTCAGCGCTGGGCCAGACCAAAGCCAAGAGTCAGGAAGTCAATCTAGGTCTCCCACGTGGGTGGCAGGCACCCAGTTACTTGCACCAACACCTGCTGCCTTCCAAGACACACATTAGCAGGAAGCTGGAATGGAGAGTGGAGCTGGGACTAGAACCCAGGTATTCTGATACTGAATATGTGCTTAACTTCTGCGCAAACACCCACTCCTATCCTTCTCATACTTTAGGTTTGCAGATCAAAGCTTAGCTTATCGGAGAAATTTCCATGAACACTTCCATAAGCTCTAAATTTCAATATTTATATAATTTAAACAATCTGATGCCTTATACATTTGTATTTTTTAATGTATGTCTCCCCTAACTAGAATATTACTCTATGAGAGTGAAGATTGTGTTTCTTTTGATTAGGACTGTTAAGCAGAGAATGCCAGAAATTTATTAAGAGAAGTACTCAGCTAATATTTGAACAAATGATTCCCAGTGCCTGTGCACATGTTTGGAACTCTGCACATTTTCTCCCTCTTCTGGGCTCACCAGCGCTTGTATACCTTCCTGCTCTTGTTGGTGTTTCCTTCTCCCTAAGGTACCCTTCAACTTACCCCAATCTGCATTGTTAAGCTTTACTTTTTCTTCAAGTACGACATTGCTAAGGAAACCTTCACTCGTTCTGTTCTCAAAGCTGACTGTGTCACTCTTTTGACCCTACCAGCGTTGTCTGTGTGCCTCATGCAGAACTCCGGTCTCTATGGTAGAATGATTCACCATCGTGGACCAAAAGCTTTAAAAGGTGGGGCTGTGTCTGACTCATCTTTGTCCTCTGAGCCCCTGTAAACTTCACCTACTGCTTTATACATAGCAGGTGCTCAATGCATGTTGCCGAACAGACTGGCATTACTGTGACAACGTGAATTTGATGGTGTGGTACCTGGATAGGAAATGATAATGGAGAGCTCTCATAATCCTACAATTTCTGTAAAATTTGCCTTGACGACTTTTTGTTTTTGTGTTTTCTCTATGAAGTGTTTAGAAAATAGCCACTTGGGTGTGAACAGTTTGCTTTATTTTGATAGGTGGAGAACGAAAACATTCATTTGGAAGGTGAGATACCAAATGATCAGAGTATCAGCTATTTCACATAGCTGTCTCCTTCCAAGCTGGATTAGCAATGAGGGAAAAGTTTCCTATTATGGAGATTTCTGTTAACATCTTTCCCAGAATGAGAAGCCTTTTTCTCCACCTTCCTGAAGAAAAATTTCCCTGCTTCCTAGCAGGGAGAATCAAGAGCAGGAACTATGCTTAGACGGACACCTGTTTAAAATTCTGATCTTTGTTAGCATAGATTTTCAATTCCAAACTGTCAAGATTCTGCAATGGAAGTTGACGGTGTACTTCTCTGTGGAACAGCTGGTTTAATTGGGCAAGTTTTGCTATGGTGACATTAGGGCTCATTAGGCTTTCTCTTATCAGTGGTGGAAGCTGTGAGATTTCAACCAAGCAGAGGGTTTAGATTCTAAATGAGAAATATAGATTAGCATTTCAGATAATGAAATAATGGACTTCGGTGTTACCTTTCTAGTGACAAAAGCAAGAACTTAAATCCATTGTAGGGTTCCTTGTTTAATCAATAAATAAACGAGAGACACAGAAGATTTATTTCCTCTGTGGCAACAAACGCTATCATTTTTCTTAATTATCCTTAGGTTTGCCTTTCTTGCTTTTGGATCCTTTGCAAGAAAAAAAAAAGCTCTCTGCATTAAGAAAGGGATGTCAAATCTCTTGTTGTGTTTTCTCTCTTTGTCATATGCACACAGAGTTTTGCCTTTTTGCTGCAGTGTCTACATGTCTTAATGAAAACCTCACAAAGTCAAAGGCTTCACAAGGTTGTCCAGGCTACCTTAGAAGCCAGAGTTTCCAGCTGAGGAGGAGAAATATCAAGGCAGCTATGGGAGAGAAAACAAATAGTTTGAACTTTGGATCCACAGATGGTTATGCCTGCCAACTGTTATGAGCCAATGAATATCTGGCCTATCATTTGTCATATTTATTGCAGTACATAATGCTGTAATTTCTCATGGCATGGTTATTTATCTTGCTGTGTTCTCTGAACAGCTAAAATTGCAGCCATGTTGGAGCATATGTATACCTTTCGGGTTTTGTTTTTAAATAGCAGCCATGCAAATTGGCACAGGCTTCCACATAGGACTGGGATGAGGACTGCAGCAAAACAACTAGTTAGCTGATGATGGAAAATTCTGGTAATTTCAGCTCCGCTCCCAGTCTTGCTCCTGTGTGCTTAGGCACAGAGGATAAAGGGAGTGGAAGCGCTCCATTGCCTTTTCCCTTCCTCACAGCTGCCAGCATGGTTTCCTGATGTGGTGGCCTTTAGGATGTGGAGTGTCGTCTCTGAAGGCTCTCGGGAGCATGCAGAGACCCCTCCTGTGTTACAGGAAGGAAAGGTCTGTGGGAAGGAGAAAGGTTGAGGGGGGAGGAGAAAGGCCTCAGGTACTCAGTCAGCAGTCACGGGGGCACTGTGACATCGAAGGAGCAGTGGGAACACCTGTCTTTATTGGCACCTGCACCGTTGGCAGTGGTGCATCAGGGACTAGAGACTGCCTGATGCCTGGTGACAGAAGGAGTGACTCACAGGTGACTCACAGGTGGGCAGAGTCTTCAGGGTACTGTGGCTCGCGTGGCACACCTCAGAATCCATGATGAATCACTGAGTTTGAATGGGACCTTAAGTTGGGGCAAATTTTAGTGTGCAGTGGTCCCTCCATGAACGGCAGTGGTGAAAATGCGGGTGCCTCCCAGCCACGCTGGATTAGGGGCATTCGCCCTGGGGAATGGAAACTCCAGCTTTGTTGCAGGCCACTCTGCCCTTTACGGTGAGGGGGTGAGGGCCATATAGTCATCTGATGAGCACAGGCAGTCTTAAATCTCACTGTAGTTGCTGGCATTCCTTACGGTGGCTTCCATCAGAAGTGTTGGCCGTGACCAACACTTCTGTGTCTGTGAAGTCCCTCCCTTTCTTTCCCCTGAGAGGCAGTGAAATGGCCCCCAGTGCTCAGCAGAAGAGAGCAGAGATCCTAGCACCACTCTTCTTCTTATCAGGCCTAATGTTAAAAGTTAGGAGGTTAAGACATCTAAGTCCTTAGTCCCTGGGTTAGCTACTGTAGTCTCAATCCCCCCCCCCCCCCCCCCCCCGGCTCCTGGAACGGGCAGTGTCCCGTCTACCTCAGTACTCGGCACAACTGACTGAGCAGGCAAGTCCATTCAGGAGAAAAAGAAGGCTCTAACATGTAACCCTGACAGTGTAGATCTGAATTCTTTTTTCTTCATGCAGAAATAAACAGAAATGGCATCTCATCTGGGAGGCGCTAAGACTGGCTGAACTACAACTACTTGGATTTGCTTAAGTATTTTTTCTCTTTCTATTTTTTTAAATTTCTTGATTTGTTTAGTTAAAGGCAGACAGGCAGACAGAGACAGGCAGACAGAAGAGAGTTCCCATTTGCTTGTTCACTCCATAATTGCCCACAACAACCTTGTGCCAGGGCAGAAGCCAGGAGCCTGAACTCAATCTCTTTGTCCCAAGTGGATGGCAGGGACCCGATTACTTGAGCCATGATCTGCTGTCTCCCAGGTTGTACATTAGCAGGAAGCTGGAATCTGTAACCGAGCTAGGGCTTGGTTCCAGGCACTCTGGTGTGGGCTCTAGGTATCCCAAGTAGTGTCTTAACTGCCCCATCAAGCACCTGCCCCTGGCTCAAGTTAAAAAAAAGACTGTGCTTTAGAAAGGAAGGAGGGGTAGATGTCCCAGTACAACTTGAAATACACTCAGGATGCTGTGTGAAGACAGCAAGAAAAGTCAGTCCCAGGAAGAATGGAGACTTGGAAATCACTGAAGAGGGCAAGGTGCTTTAAAGTTATCATCAGAGCTTAGTGCGTGGAGTGGCAGTCTTGGGTCAATGGACAATAACCAAAGAGCCACTATTTCAAAGACTCTTTTGCATCTGTCTCCTAAGCTAGGCAGAGTGCTTTTAAGACTGAGAGAGGAGCAGAACAATTGGTCAGAAAACTGGAAAGGCAAGATATGTGAAGAGAGCTTTAGAGAGCAGCGTTCAGATTTACAGGTCTAGACTGCTACGTCTAGTTCCCTAGGAGACATGAGTCACTGCAGATAGCACTCAATAGACAAGAGGGGAAACGCTAGCATCCTTATATTGAATAAATGCCCTTATTATCAAGAAGGGAAAGCATATTATTAAACAAATGGTTTGTGTACATTTGAAAATGAAGCCAAGTCAGGAATGAGTATCGTAGTCACGGCAGAACTTCACAGGGATGAGTCTAGAGGAGCAGCAGAGACAGAACTGAATTTAGCTGTATTAATGAGAGCAGCCTGCGAGGCAACAGGCACAGATTCTAGTAAAGGTAATCCACGTGCAAGGAACAAAAACCCCTGACAAGAAGCAGCAATTCAGTTGTTTCAAGGCTTGGTAATATGGGGGACTTCAAACAGGTTTTAGAAATATGGAATTCAAAGCTGAGTTTACTTTGGTCTAAAAATGTTTAACTTCATGCATAGTTTTAATTTTTTTTCAGAGTATGCATCTGCCATTAAACTTTCTGAATACCCCTCGGATGCCTGGATTTCAAATTTTTTTTTTTTACCAAAATAAACTGATTTCTTTATTCAATTTTCCATAGACTTTTCAAACTACCCTCATAGATGTAAGGCAAGATTTATGGTTTTTGTAAAACCCCTTTAAGCACCTCCCTTCCACTTCCTTTAATACAACCAGATTTTCGAAGAGTCTTCCTAGGGTAGGACTGTCTTCTTCTTGTCTTCCCCTCCTTTTATCATCTTTCACAAACTACCTTGAATTTGGTAAAAGAGATATTTTTAATTGGGAAGGCATTGAGAAGTTGTGAAAGATCGAGTTAGCAGCTATTTTTTGGAAATAAAAAAGCTCAGAGCTCAGAAAATATTTGATAATTATTTGATTTCTGGTCATCTTGGACAAGCTCATGTCTGTGAGCCCCAGTTTTCTCATTTTGGAAATAGGAACTGCAGATAGGCAGCAACCAGAACCCTCTCCCCTCCAGATTCCCTACCCACTCCTCTGCTTTCTTTGGGCTTTCTATTAATTTTATTTTTGGTCTTTTTATTTATTTGAAAGGTAGAGTTACAGAGTGAGAGAAGGACACACACACACACACACACACACAGAGATCTTCCATCTGCTGGTTCACTCTCTAAATGGCCACAATGGTTAAGGGCTGTGACAGGTGAAGCCAGGAGCCAGGAGCTTCTTCCAGGTCTCCCATGTGGGTGCAGGGGCCCAAGAACTTTGGGCCATCTTTTGCTGTTTTCCCAGGTGCATTAGCAGGGTGCTGGATGAGAAGCAGAGCAGCAGGGACTTGAACCAGCTCCCACACAGGATACCGGCACCGCAGGCAGCAGCTTAACCGGCTGCACGCCAGCACCGGCCCCGTATTTTTGGTCTGTTACACAGCATATTTCATAAGATTCAGAGACATTTTGTTTTTTGACTAAATAACTAGCAGACTCTCTCAAATCACTGAAATGTGACAAGAAATGAAAACGCAGCTGAATTTCAATCAGAGCATGTTGGGTCTCGTGTGCTGTTTGTACTATCGCAGCAGCTTGTGCTCCACACAGCCGCACTGAAAGCCATTGACGGCAAAGGCGGAGCTCTTCACTGATCAGCCCTGTGAGTTTGGATGAATCTTTGCACATCTTGCTGCTGTTTCCTCATCAGTCCAGTGACCGGATTGACTTATACTGCCTGGAGGGTCCTTTCCCCTCTAGGGTCCTTTAAGATTCCCCAGAATCTTAAAAAGCCCATGATTGCAAGCCAAAACCTGTATTATGGAATGAGGTGGCAGTATGTATAAGTGCAAGTTGATTAGGGAAATGACATAGGATTTATTTTTTGAATTGGCTTTCACAATAATAAATCATGGAGTAAAGATCCACAAAAGAGAGATACACTTAATGTAAGAGTTCAAGGAAGCAGAGCATATTTGAAACAATGTGGAAAAATAACCTTTCATTCTTTGCCCTTCTATTTTTCCTAATGGATGGCATAAAATGGATGCTCAGGCTGAATAGTGGCTTTCATTCAATTTTAAGTCACCCCGTCATGTCGTGCATTGCTGCTTTCCACGTTAGCTGACACTGCAGGATGTAGCGCAATGCAGAGTGAAGAGTGAGACATGTGACATGGCATGTCGGAAACAATACTTGCTTTTTGCAGATCAGTTATCATTTAAAGGCTGGTATTTAGAACTATCCTTAGATAATTCAATATCTCTATGTCTCGGGTGGGGGGTATGTCAACCTGAGTTCATTTTTTTCCTTATCAGATATGATGGGACAAGATGACATTAAAATGGTTGAAAGAAACCATCCGGAATACATATTTAAAAAAAAATTCAGGCAGATCTTCAAGGAGCTTAAGAGTTGCTTAAATTGAGTTCCTGCAACCATGGAACTCAGAGAATAAATGATAATGTTCACTGATCATTGTCCAGGGTTAATTCAGATATTTCCAATTGTTATCCTTTGTCTCGTTACATCACAGTCTTCTGTGACATCATCCCAAATTTTACAGCCTCTCCTTGACCGTTACTCAAACCACATCCTGTGTGCCCCTGGATTAATTCAGGGATTCCCACGTATGCCTGTGTGACACCCAGTTGGCCAATATGTGCTTTTGCTACTCTCCATCAGGCGGCTGTGTGCTCTGCTGGGCACACAAGGGACGTAATAGAGCCCTCCCATGAGCCAAACCGCAGGATGGCAGGTGGCAAGGTAGGGGACGAGGCCTCTCTTCCACTTTATGTTGAATCTCTTAGTTGTATCAGCATAGCTCTGTGGGTGCCTCTACCTGTATGGAGTTTTGTTTCTCCCTGGATCCCTCTCTCTCTTCCTGAGGAAGGGAATGGCAAGAGGTGGGTGCCAGCCTGGGTCCTCTCTTCAGCCATCAAAGCTTTGTTTTGGGGTCACTGTTATTCTCTTATGATGCTTTTCTTTGGAAATTTTTCATCCCCTGCAGCAAATAAACTTCTGTCAGGTCTTCCTTGCCATTTCCCTGAGATGTCTGGACAGAATTTTTTGAAATGCAGTGGCAGCGAAGGCTTAAGCTCTGATCCCTGACACTGTTCATCCCACAAACATTTCCTGAGCATATTTTATGTGTGAAAGCCTTTCTTTCTCCTTTATTCTTCTCTTTCCTAAAGGATTTTTTTTCCTGTGGAACATTGCTCTGAATTCAAGAATTGACATTTAGGGTTTCTTTTAACAGAGATCATAAAGCCATTTCAAATAAAACACAATTAGTAGAAAAGGGATGTGCTTCCAGAGTGTGGTTTTCCCCCGTCAGACCCTTTTTATACACAGAAGTCTGTTATGAAACAACTTTGACATAACTCGTTAACTAGACATTCTTGTAGAGGAATAGAAATAATTAGAAAAGTGCTAAAGTGTTCAAATTCTCCAGAAAATGCCAGTGATTGATAATTTATAACTCAACTTTCTCCTTAATATTTGAGTTAACCAATGTTTGTACAAGGAAAGCACGTCTGACTATTTTAGAATTGTCCAGCACTTTCATTGATATTTATCTTAGAATGTGAGCATTATTGCAGTGACTTATTTTTCATATATGTTCTCCCACAAAAATTATTTTATTACATTTGATATAATTACATTTTGCATAAATGGAGTGTGAGACAATATTTATTCCTGCATGTATATTGCTACTAAAATTACCTGCATTTAAGAAGCACTTTGAAGTCACAGCCTCCTATAAATTGTCTATTAACATTAATGGACTACAATGTTGATTTAGAAATGGCTGGATGCTGACATCTTTTATATAAATGTTCATACAGCATTCTCAATTTCAATAAAAATGCCCATCGTTAATAGTGTCCCCGAGATACAGGGTAGTCCTTCATAATAATAGCATGTGTTTCTGCCCTTCATGTTCAGAAATGATATTATTGGCAAAGGTATGTAGGGAAGTACCCACCACAATATGTGATCAATAGTTCGCTGCACACAGAATGGAAAATACGATAGTCACTATTGACAGAGTCTCACGCGGTTTGTAGCTGTGCCTTAAAGTTGTGGATTCTATATACAAATTAGTGTATGGACTCCAGTAATCAATCAAGAGACCTAATTGATATATGTGTACCTACAGTACCTTTGTCTTTCATCTTATCAGACTTTTGTTCAAAAGGATGTCCTGCTTTTTGTTGCCATGGAGTTGTGGGGTCAGACTGAAGTGTGCTTCATCTTGTGTCCTCTCAGTATCCTATTTTCTTTGCTCTTTAATCTAGCTCATCTGTTGCCTCCTCACACATCTAACCTGGTTAAGTT